CTTGTTGTTGGCTTTCACAGAGATCCGGTTCCTCTGGAAAATTAGGGTTTTCCTAAGTTTTCTTATTTAACGGAAATCGACAAGTGTGAATTTCGGTTCCCACAGTAAGGTGCAAACTGCCAACTACACCCCGACACTCGCGGAAATCGCCGTTCACCCTTTGCGCATCCTCAAACTCCGCATAAAGAGGCATGAACCACTCGCGACAAGCCATCAACTCCGCAGCAACCTCTCTTTTGCCCGCTCTACCAGCACGACTAACCATCGTATCAGAAAGCTCTAAGCTTCGGCGAGATTCGGCTTCATACTCCTCCTTCACACGAGCGGCCTCCCTTGTAGCTAAGTCCTGGGCCCGAGAGAAACTGGCACCGATCACTTCATTGAGACGAGCAGCCTCCGTCTCCGCCGCTACAGCCCAAGATTTGGCCTTGCGAAGTTCCGCACTACTCGCACTCACCGCTTCGTTCTTGAAGCGGAGACCCTGCGAAACGTGGAAAATACTGCTTTATAAAAAAAATAATAATAAAAGAGGCGACCGTGTATAATACCAAGATAAAGTGAAACAAACAGACCTTGTTAAAAAGCCTCGACGCCCTTGCAAACGGTGTGTTGGCCGGTGCTCGGGATGATGTCTCGGCCGGATCAAATTCAGAGGCTGAAAAGTCAATAAGGTCTTCGATATTAACATCATCATCGAACGCTCGAACGTGACCGATCGGAACTTCTCTGTCCTGCGGAGATCTGGACCTTTCCCTCTCCTCCGCGCCGTCATCCGCCTCGACCTCAGTACGACCGTCCCAAGAAAAACCGGATGAATAATAGGCAACGGCTCGACGGACCCTTTTCAGGGAAAAATATCCCCAATGAAGTGGACCGCCACGAAGAAGATTCATGACCTTCGGGAAATCGTCAAGCAGCGGCCTGCAGGGGACATACACTGCAAAACACACGAAAAGGTTAAAATCTATATAAATACAGATATGTAGATCACGCCAATAAAATACCAGTTGCCACCCGCACGGTCCTGAACAAAGGAATACAACTTTCCTCCACCGACGCGCTATCAATTTTGACATAGAAGAACCGATCAGTCCAATCATGATCGTTCGAGGCGAGCCCGCCGATAACCGTCATTTCTCGCTGAGAGGTTAGGTTAAAGCCGCCCCCTCTTCCGCGCTTGAATGTCAACATAGCTAAAGATAGTCTGTGTCAAGGGACATTCCGCACTCGTAGCCTAGCACCAAGATCCCGACAAGGTGCTGCAACCCACTAGGACGTAGCTGGCTGAACAGTACGCCGAACCTATCTAAGAACTTAACAATGGCTCGAGGAATAGGGAACCGTAACTGATAGTTCAGCAGAAAGGCTTCGTAGCAAATAACCCGGAGGCGGATTCTCGGCATCTTGGCCTTGGACGGGAAGGCAAAACTGAACCGATTCAGGGATCGCACGGGAATTCCTTAAATCCTTGAGAGAACCGATAGTACTCACGCTTGGACCAACCATTTTCTTCCGAAGCTTATCCTTCTTCGGAACCCAGGAATTCGAAGGCAGAACGTCGGCGGCATACAAGGCTAACCAGTATTCCAAAAATTCTTTCTCAATCGTGGAAAAGCGCCGAAAGATTGGCCTAGGAAGGACACAGCCGCCGGAGATCTTAAGGTCGCTTAGGTCAAAATTTGATGCATGAGCGTGGTCCGAAGCTTTCCATTCGGAAGACATGTTAAACAGACAAAAGAAAAAGAGAAGATCCAAAGGAAGAAGTAGAGAAAAAACTTCTTGAGGCTTAGACAAGTTATGGGAAAATGATGAAGAACTTGAGAACTCACCCCATATACTTATAAGAAAAAGTTTACTATTCACCTTTGGACTTTTGGCCATTAAAGTTCCGCCTAATTCTACCAAACTTGCCAAACAAGTTCCCTCCGCTTGTAAGAACTCCACGATTATTACGAGCTGGGGGCTAACTATTGGGGTCCAAATCAGTACGACGGAATCAATAGCCAAAACTCCCCGAAAAAGATAAAAAATACATTTTATAAAACTCGAGAAATCGTTTTATAAAACTCGAGAAATTGTTTTATAAAACTCGAGAAATCGTTTTATAAAACTCGACAAATAGTTTTATAAAACTCAAGAAATCGTTCTATAAATTCAAAAGAGATTTCCGAACAAAGGAAATCCACGGGAAACTCGGAAGATCGTTATCTCGGAAGAGCAAAACAAACGTCGATTACACGATCGTCCGAGTTAAGCATAAAACCGTGAAAAACCAAAACTGCCGTAAAACGCGAGCTAGTCCCGACATGACTAGCTCGCCTAACAGCGAGCTAGTCCTATCACGACTAGCTCGCCGAACAGCGAGCTGAGACAGCTGGCCCAGCTCGCCGTTCGGTGAGCTAGTCCCGTCCCGACTAGCTCGCCGAACGGCGAGCTAGAAGCTTCCTGGGTAGCTCGTTGTACGTCAAGCCGACCATTCCGAGCCTCGATCTCCCACGTCCCCGATTCAAGGCTTACGTCCTTCGACACGATCATGTTCCGAACCACGGTCGAAATGTCTCCCGTTCCGTCTCGATCCGTCCTATCGTTCGAGTTTTACGATAAAAATCGTAGAACTTTGTTTTCTCGAAAAGAACTCGAGAAAATCGTAGAAAACGGCAACGGTTAAACGAAACACCGAACATTGCCTAAACTATACGATTTATTCGAGATTTTTCTTAAAAATCGTAAAAAACACGTTTTTAATAAAAATCATAAAAAACACGTTTTTAATAAAAATCATAAAAAACACGTTTTTAATAAAAAACACGTTTTTAATAAAAAACACGTTTTTAATAAAAAAACGTCGAGTGAATCGTAAAAACGGCAACGATTAACCGAGAAATGAACGTAGCTAAACTTTACGATTAACTCGAGGAATTTATTGAAAACGGCATCGGATCAGAAAACGATCTCGTGTAAAGTCGCAAAACGGATTTATCCCAAAACGACTCGGAAGGTCCTAAAACGTGATGAAAGCCCATCTCGCGATCTTAACAAAATCTAACCCGAAGATACGATGACATTTTGACGATTTACCCGCAGAAGGAAGATAAATGTCAATTTTAAAGATAAATGGCAAGTTTGAAGATAAATAGAAGATTTCCGCGGGAAAAAAGGGAAGATCAAGATAAATGGAAGATTCCCGATAAACTCGAATCTGGGCGAAATGGAAGGACCAAACCGCCAAGGAAGGGAGTATATAAGCAAGAGGCATATGGCAGAAACAGGACAAGTTTTCAGAGCTTTCACCACCAAACTTAGCATTTAGGAGTTTTTCCATTTTTGTTATCGAGCTGCGTCTCAACTAGGGTTTTCGGTCTTAGACTTCTAGAGTTAGGGATTTCGCCGACGGCTCGCGTAGCTAAGTCCGCTCTCGTTGTAACCGTTCTTACGCAGATTCGGAATAAGATCCTTCTTGCTCTTCATTTCGTTCATTCTTACTTTAATTTTAAATTCATCGTTTTCTTAATTGTTATTGTGCGGTTCCGCAGATAGCCGGGTCCTCTGGGAACTTAGGGTTTACTCAAAGTTCCCTTATTTATGATTCATTTACAGTAGGTGAATTTCGGTTCCCACAAAGCGCCTTAATATCATCCACATAATACAAGTTATCGTTGTTGTCTTTAAGAAAATGGATGTGGTTCCTAGAAGCGTGATGAGAAACCATCTGAGGGTAGAAAGGCGTATTGCGATAACCAACATCAGCCCATCTAACCCGGGACCTCTGTCTATAATACTTCTCCTCAGCCTTAAGCAACGTGTTCAATTTGTCACGCTCAAGATGCTCTTCACGAGCAGTACATACATCAGAAAAAGTAAGCAGACGTCGTTGTAGCTCATCGACTATTTCCTTCTGAGCCTTGACCCTTTGGGAAATACCAATGTAATGTCGCTTATTAAGTCTACGTAGAGGTCTCTTTAAAGTATTTAGAGATCGAACCAATTTGAACTGGTCAGTACCTGTGAGCTGGCCACAATTCCAAGCTTCATTAAAAGTGTCAGCATATTCTGGATGATCTATAACATGATGAAAAAATTTTAATGGTTTCAAAACCTGACGTCTTAAAGCTGGAATCCGGAAAAGGCAGGGAGTATGATCGGATTGGAAGGGTTAAGGTAATCTTCAAAGGAGTCCGGGAAAGAAGAAGACCAAGGCTGATTAATGAAAGCGTGATCAATCTTGGTGGATATAGGATTATCGTCCTGGAAGTTCCTCCAAGTGAAAGGCGATCCCTTGGCTTGAGCTTCAAATAACTGAGCATCTTAGAGCCCAAGATTAGCTTCATCCAAACCAAAATCATCAATACGCAAAGAAAGGTGATTAGAATGATGAGAAGACCGCAGCATCTGATTGAAGTCCCGTAGCACACACCACGGATGATCCGAAACCGGCGTAGAAACTTGTAATTATGCCAGATTTATCCAAACCGATGACTGATCCTCGAGTAAATTAAACCCATAGACAAAGGTGACCGTAAAGGTAATGTCTTCAGAAAAAATTGTGACTCCACAAGTGACTGATTGAGATGTTGCATTGTAGACAAGAAAAGTAATCCTAGGATCCCAAACAATAATGATATGACCAGCGTTATTTGCTTCGAAATTCCCAAAATAGTTCCATCACCTTGAGATAGCTCCCAAAATTCTCTCTTTATTACTCTCCAAAATGTGAGTCTCCAAAAAAGCTCCAAAAAGTGGCCTATGGATATTAATCCAATCATTGGTCATGGTGTGGCGTCTATCACTATTCAGGCCACGATCATTCCACGCAAAAAAACTCATAACTACTTGTTTTATTGATGTTTTGTGACCTTGCTGCCACTCTTCCTGTTCTTAGGCAGGAAAAAAGGTTTGTCTCGATCCTCAGAAGGAAGATTGTAAGCTCCTTGTTTAGTCCCGGATTACCAGGAAGAATATGATTAGTACCATCAAAGTTTGTTGCAGCCCCAAGAGGGCTATCACTCTGTTTCTTGTCGCTTATACGATCTGCTGAACCTTCCTGATTGTGAGAGCCAATTTCTACATCAACAGCATCTGATGATTATGAAGAATCAGTCTGAGAGGAGACTAGGCCATCAACAGACGTATGAATCCCAAACTTAAAAACATCTGAAGCTTATGAAGAAACTGTAGCCAACATTTCTGAGATGTTAACTTCTGTAGCCTGATCTAAACCTGCAAGACTAGCAAAACGATTAGTAACAGTAATTGTTTCGGAAACCCCAACTAAATTTTTTTGACAAATTTCTCCTTCTTCTAAAACTGCATCTTCACCACCATGGAGAGACTCTGTCTTAGTATACGTTTCACCATCAGGAACAGAATTTTCGGCTGGACCCTGAATAGGCTCCATGGTATTAACCGTCTCAATATCAGAAACAAAATTTACGGGTAGACGCTGATTAGGCTCTGAAGTAGTAACTGATTCCTTTTCACCATCAGGGATATCAGTATTCCCTTTGTTACAAACATGGACCACAGGAACATAGTGGAGAACCGTCTTCTTTCCCAACTTATCTCTGGAGCGCCCTGGTCGAGGTTTTGACCTTTTCCTACTAGGTTCTGCAATGAATTTCCTTGCACTCATCTGTCCCAAATAACCTTCCGAAACTCCAAAGGTGCACCTGTCAGTCTTGTGGCCATATCTATTGCAAGAATCACACTTCACAGCCAACCATGGATAAGTGACCTCAATTTGAACTTCCCTACCATTCGAGAACCCAGAGACAATCTTGTGTGGAAGTGGTGCAGTAAGATCGACCTTGACATACAACTTCGCGACTTGAAAGTTTTCCTTACGCTCAGTTTCAGGTGCTAGCGACTCAGGTTTCCCAACAGTTGTAGCTATACGACTCAAGCTTTCTTTATTGAACAAAAGATACAGAACGTTGCGCATCTCTACTGGTACAATAGAGCTTGTAAGTGGTGGTTTGTCCGGTGAGTAGTCAGGGGACCAGGAAGCCACAAACATAGGAAAACCACCTATATTCCAACAGGTCCGAGACAAAAGAACCTCACGAGTCCTAGGATTTGTGACTCTGAGGAGATACATACCTTGTCCAATTTTATGGACAAAGATCCGAGGGCCAACTCTTGCCCACACCGCATTAACCACTCCGATAATCTTTCCCATGGAAGGGGAATCTCCATGGAAATGAGCGTAAATGAAATCTCTGAAATCCAGTTTAGCATCCTCTATATTTTAGTCTGGGATAAGGACGAAAGGAACACCAGAGACATGTTCTGACGGGTCCCCATTTCTTGCAATTGAGCAGAGTAAATCAGCGTAATTTCTCTCAGGAGTGACACCGTCTCCCGTAGCTTTGGAGCCGACGAGAGCAGATCCAGAACCACTAGTGAGACACACAGCCTCCTTTGCCGGAGGAGAAGCAAACAACAAACTAGAAGGAGAAGCCTCCTTTGACTGTAAAGGAGAGCCAGCAGAACCAGAACTACAAGCAAGAGTAGATCCAGATTTCATGGGACAAGCAGTCGCAGGAGAAGAAGTCGATGGTATCGAAGACCCAATTGCAGCTTCACCAAAATCGGCTAGAGAGATCGACTTTTTTCTCTTCTTATCCATACCACGACGTTTATTGGACTTACGCGCTAGTCGAAAAGATTTGAAAGACAGAACGACATATGGACAAGGTTTCTTCTTTTTCTTGGCAAGCATCGCGACATGAGTGAGGCTCACACGGAAACAGAAGGGGGGGGGAGGCAGATATGTTGGGGTCAAAATCGGTCACGACGAAATCAATGGCTAAGAGTCCCGGAAAAAGCATACAAGAAACTATAGTCTTTCTACGAAGATACGAGATTACAAAAAACTCGTATCAAAGTATGAAATATTGGGGTCAAAATCGGTCACGACTGAATCAACGACCAAAAATTTCCAAAAAGTTAAGAATAGATTTTAGAAATACGAAATAGTTTCGAAAAGAAATCTAAGGATTCTCTGAACAAAGGAATTCCATAAACTTAATAATCCTCATCTTGGAAATTATCGGAAAATCGAATAAAACAATCCGCGATAGTCCAAATTGGCCAAATTAGCAAAAAACAGCCGTAACCTCCAAACTTCCCAAAATAGTATGGATGTTATTAAGGTCGAAAACAATAACCTCGAGATCAGCATCTACGATTATTTCTCCTTATACTCATCGAGAGGATCTCGGGTCAAGAAAACGATCGAAACCGAACAACCGACCAGCTCGCAACAGGCGAGCTGGCTGTGATTGACAGCTCGCCTTTTGGCGAGCTGAACCAACCAGTCCAGCTCGCTAACAGGCAAACTGGCCATCCTTGACCAGCTCGTCTGTTGGCCAGCTGAACCGTCCCGTCTAGCTCGCCAACTGGCGAGCTGGCCGTGCTTGACCAGCTCGCCTATTGGTGAGCTAAACCAAACCATCCATGCCCCTCGACTTGATCGTACTCTTAACCGTGATCGGAACATCTCTCGTTTCGTCTCGATTCGTCTTACCATTGGAGTTTTACGATAAAAAAGCGTAAAAGGCTTGTTTTCTCGTAAAACCTCGAGTAAATCGTATAAAACGGCAACAATTAAACAAAACACCGAACGTTGCCAAACTATACAATTAACTTGAGATATCTTATTAAAAACCGCTAAAGACTTGTTTTCTCGTAAAATCGTATAACACGGCAATAGTTAAACAAAACACCGACTATTGCCAAACTATACGATTAACTCGAGATGTTTTATAAAACGGCATCGTATCAGGAAACGATCTCATCTAAAGTCGTAAAACGGCTAAATCGCAAAACGGCTCGGAAAGTCCTATAATGCGATAAAATCCTACTCACGACTTTAGACAAGATCCAGCCCAAAGATATGATGACGGTTTACTCATTATTCGCAGGAGTAGGAAAATGTCAAGTTTGAAGATAAAATAGAAGCTTTCCGAAGAAAAATGGAAAGATCGAGATAAATGGAAGATTTCCTATAAACGCGAATCTGGGCGGAAAAGGAAAGACCAACCGTCTAGAGAAGGAGTATATAAGCAGAAGCTCGAGGACAAGAACAAGGGTACGATTTTCAGAGCTCTAATCTCAGAACTTTTACAACTTTTCTAGACTTATAATTCTCTGCACTTAGAAACTTAGGCTTTATTCTCAACAAGTTTGGTTTCTATGACTAGCACTCAATTACTAAATGAACTCGCCAAGGCAGTTCGATCTCTTTTCCATCTCTACAATTGAACTACATTCGTCTTGATCCTCGAAAGGGGTACATAGGCAGCCTTTCATAAGGTTCAGTCCGAAATCATTCTAAACCTTTTTTTCTTATCTTTTTCTTCTTTTGTTACCGAGCTGCGACTCAACTAGGTTTAGGGTTTTATGTTTCTAGAACTAGGTAACTCGCTGACGGCCCTTGCAACCAAAGCCTTTATAATCTCTTGTATTGATTGCAACGCTCTTATGCGAGTTCGAAATAAGATCTACTTTCTTTATAAATTCGTTTTATCATGTTTTTCATATTTTCCGCATTTATTTGGTTACTTGTCGTTGGCTCTCGTAGAGATCAGGGTCCTCTGGAAAATTAGGGTTTTCCTAAGTTTCCTTATTTTACTGAAATCGACGGTGTGAATTTTGGTTCCCACAGTTTGGCGCCAGGAAGGAGGGGGGGGGGTACGGATTAATCTAACTCATAGCCGCAAAACGCTTGATCAAAACGATGTCCGGATATATGAAAGACAATGTCGCAGCTCGTAAAAATGCTGGTAAAACAACTCCAGCAGCGACTATTCCTATAGTCAACGCTCACGCAAACACGTTAGTACTTAACAAGATTGAAAACCTAATCGCGATTTTTCGCCACGAGAGGAGCAACAAAAAAAGCTCACGATTTCTCTCTCTGAACACCAATAATGTTTCTCTTTTTTCCGAGTTGGACAAATCTCATTATGTATGGGTTGACCAAAAGACGTTTTCCATTAACTTTTCGGAAAACTTACTCTCCCAGAAATTGCGTGAAAACCTTAGGCAACTCGCGTGAAAACCTTAGGCAACTCGCGGAAAAACCCTAGGGTACTGGCGGATTAACCCTAGGTTACTCGCAGATTAAACCCTAGATTACTCGCGGAATAAACCCTAGGCTACTCGCGGAGAACCCCTAGGTCACTCGCGGAAAAAAACATAGGATACTCGCGGAGTTGGCCGTACCGTCCAGCTCGCCGAGCCGGCAAGTTGGACCGTACCATCCAGCTCGCCAAGCTGGCAGGCTTGACCGTTCAAACCAGCTCGCCAGCCGTTGAGCTGGCCGTGCCAAACTAGCTCGCCGTCTTGGCGAGCTGATCGGCCTTTCACCTCGCCCTTGAGGCACTGACTTTTCCCCGAGGGTCCTTATCATCCAGCTCGCCTGTTGGCGAGCTGGCGAGATCAATCAGCTCTTCGTCTTGGCGAGCTGGACCGTTCAAACCAGCTCGCCAGTTGGTGAGCTGGCCGTGCCAAACCAGCTCGCCGTCTTGGCGAGCTGATCGGCCTTTTGTGAGTTGGTGTTTGATCCGATGGTACGCACCATCCAACTGCCACCATGGCGAGTTGGCCAAGTCTGATTGTACTCCAAACAATAATCACACTGCTTTTCGTTTCGTTTCAATCGGAGTTTCAGTTGAGATTTTTCGACGAAACAAATCGGCTCGACGAATCGGGATTGTACTCACCGACTCGCCAGTGGGCGAGTTGGACAAGCTCGACGGATCAAAACATTTCTATCTCTAATCTCGATCGAAACACTTTTTGTTTCGTCCCAATCGGAGTAACCGTTGGAACTTTACGATAAAAAAACGCAAAAACTTACTTTCTCGTATAAGTTCGAATCGATCGTCTAAAACGGCAACGGTTGACACAACACCAAAGTTGCCTAAACTATACGAGAGATTTGAACTCTCTAAACGCAATCCGGTTTTACGAAATTCTGCCACATTAACTCGAAAACATCTAATCATAAACTTGTAATGGATTTTTCAACAATATACGAAGCACACCTAGTCAGTTAAGTAAATCCAGCAGTACGAAGAAACAAGAACATAAACTCCGATGTCGATATCCTTTCCTCACTCCGATATTCCTGTTGGTATTTCGTCGAAGACGGATTCATACAAAAATAAGTCAAAAGATGAAGAACGAAGAAAAGACAGTCCCAAATCATCGATGAAATAAAAGGTATGTCTAATTCGAAAATTTTATTAGACTTCTAATTTCTCGTAGGCAAGGAATGAAAACGTCTTGTAAATTGCTGTAAAACCTAGGGAACTTAGAATTTAGGGGGATAGTCTAGCATGCTAACTCGTAGGCAATTTTTGTCTATCTCGATCTATTGTTCTCTAACTTTTCAGGCATAATTTGCAAACCGATCCAATCTCTCGTACAACCGAGAAATGATCGCCACGCATTTGAGCGTACTCATCTCATTTCCTAAAGAAAGAAGGAACTAGAGACACTGACGTTGTATTAAAACCGACTCGTTCCTAGAAATTTTCGTAAAACAGACATACTCCAAGTCATCATCAATCCACCATGGTCTATAATCAACCCAGATTGTCGATCATCCCAATCCTTTAAAAGAAATTCATCTGTTTTCTTTTGTATTAAAAAAAGTAGGGAGTAGGTGCGTATACTCCCATATTTAAAAAAAAAAAACATTTTTCCTCGCATCCAGAAAACGCTTTTGTATAAAGCAAACTCTCATAAAAATAAGCAAAAAATATTCGTACAATGTGATGCCTTGTCAAAATCATCCCAAACGCAAACGACAATCTAAGATTTGTGTAAATGCTAAAGACTGATCCAAACCGTCTGGGAAATAATCTCGAGGATTATACAGCATCTCTCATCGCAATCATGTGTTTAGAAAACCTCTGCCAAACTTCAGCGTGAAACTCGATGATTTGCCGAAGTCATAAAGATCTTTTCCAACTTGATAAAACAAGTTTGTATAGGAATCAAAAAAATATAAGAGAAATCTTTAGGCATCAAAGCATTGCTCTCATTTTCCATCGAACAAAGTGAGTCACGGAATAATATCAAGAACATTTGTGGCAGAAGAAAAATCGAGAACACAAGAAGCAGCAATAGGGAAAACGTCCTTCCTGCTTTCCGACTGATCCTATTGCTGGTCATGTGATCCTATTCCGCTCAATAAACCCGCTAAAAAGTTTCGCGACTAAATCTCGGTGAAATAACCTTTGATAAAACTCCGTGAGTGACTCCAAGAAACTATCACCAAAGAATCAAAAACGAAGCGGAAAGGTTTCTCAAAAATTTGCGGAAGCATCGTTATTTTGACATCTTCATACGTCGCGTCAATTTACTAAATTCGTCGCCCGTTACTTATGCAAGAAACCCTTCGTATAGTCGAAGACCTTGACATACGAAGCAACTTTCGAAAGTAAACGTAACAGGTTCTGCAAAAAGTAATTTCCATATAGCAAAGCCATACGATCCGACATTGGACAACCAATCTAAAACTTTGTTTCCTCGCACAACGATCTGAAAGATATCATTCTGTAGCCCTGCGGCTCACGGACATCCGCTCTCATTCCTCTCGATTACATCCGAGAATGAAACCACCCCGCAACTGACTCTGCACGGGCTCTGCATCAACCTTCTTAGTCTTTGTCTCCCTCGGATAAAAAAGAAACAACTTCTATACGA